CTTTTTTCTACCTTTTTTACCTTCGTCTTTGAAACACTCTTCTTTTTTCACTTTGATGATCCTTCCCCTCCGTGAAGCCTGAAGTCAACTAAAGGGTTATTGATAACCATCAAAACGCCTGCCATTTGATATAAATAAGTATCAATACTCACAAGTTGCTCAGTTTCGTTTAAGATAAGACTGTTGCCTAGGTAATGACTTAGAAATTGGAATTTTATACCTGATAATGAGCATGCTTCGACAGAGGAAAACTTGCAGCCTTTGAAAGGACTTCAAGCTATGGATGTTTCAAAAGTAACAGAGCTAGATTATTTCCAAGTCTTGAATAATTGTTACCCCAAGTCGAATGAAATATCTGCTTTTCAGCTCCCCTACCTAATATTTTTGAATTTATAAACTGTTGTCGGAAATTTCGACCAAACTGACGCAGTTTTGGTTTAAATATGCAATACTGAAGCCATTTTTACGTCTAACGAGTAAAGGCTTTTATCGTTCGCAAGTACATCCCTTCTGTTTGAGAGACCCGCACACACACACACACACACACACACACACACTCACGCGAAATTTGGAAATGGAAGATGAGATTCTCGCCAGATGTAATGATCTCACAGTTGTTCTAATCGAATGGTAAAGCAACTTATTTAACCTAGCAAGGGTAGAGTAGAATCATCAAAATGTAGTTAATGACCTTCCTAAGTTTGACAGAAGCCGATTGGCTTTAACAAGTGACAAAAAAACCAAAGGTTGGAAGAGTAGTAAAGAGTGAGAAAAGGGTGGAGATGTTTGCACTGAAAGGACACAAATCGGACTGTGATTGATAGGCTAAGTGGAATTAGTTTTGAGGAGCTGACTAAGTTCTCCCTAGATGAGTGTGTATAGGATGGGCAAAAGTACTCATATCAAAATCAGATACTTGGGCTTGATCAGCAGGTGAGTCATTCGTAAAGGGACATAGCAAGAGTAGTTCTCCTAAATGAAAGTGACATTTTGTCTTGCCAGTTACTGAGTGTGCAATATTAACCGCTTGCCAATGACATATCAGCTCCACACACACACACCCTCCATGTCAGATTGTGACAAATCAACAGCCATTCAAAGGCCACTTTGCCAGCTGATTAATCGTTTTTTCCGCCACATCCAACATAGACAACACATCAGTTTTTTAAAATTTCCTTAACAATTCAAAATACAATTGAAATGTATAATTAGTACTCAGAAATATTCGAGAGCGATTGCAACTTATTTCGCTTGTCAGAGAAGGAGTAGTTTAAGCTTTAAAAAGACTCTCTTGTCCCATTTTAAGTCAAGTGGAGAGGTGAAAAACCACATATTTGCTAATTAGGTAGACTTTAACCTTCTTTTGATATTTCAAGGGTATTTAAACTATCGGCTGAAAAGGCGGATGCCTATGTTGCCCAGCATTAAAAATTCATTTAAAAATTCTTGATTTCGACTCCTTCATTTTCTAAGCAGTACAATCTTTGAAATTTTTAAATTAATTGTAAAGGAAGGTTTTTTCTACATTAATTAAACATGGAAATAAAATAAGTAATTTGGCTTACAGTTAATCTATTTTCATTGACCGTAGAGATGATACGCTTTTGCACATAGTTAAGCTATAATAATTTGCTCATGCAATCTTACCTGTAGAACCAGAATTTCACTGGTATTAATTAATTTCTTATATGGAAATTATTTTTCTTTGTGGATATTCATGCATGTAAAAAGACATTTTAATATTTCACAATATAAATAATCAAAATGTGGGCGCATGCTTCCCACAGGCAATTTTCTGGTTCATTAAAATATTGATTAGCAATGCCAAACCCACCATTTAAAATACGCCTGTAATTTTAAGATTAATCTGAAAGTTCTATTGATAATCAGTTAGTAGTAAGTACATATTTCATTGATAAAATTTCATTTAAGGGGTGTGCGATAGACTAAATCCACGTGGTACACCCTGGATAAAGTGAACTCAACCGACAAAAAAGCCTATAAACAGGCAGTTGACTTCTCACTTCAAACGGCCATGACTCCATTGTATGCCATATTCCACTAGTTTCACAGTACTCACCTCACCTTACCTTTTTCTCCACCGTTGTGTCTGCCTGTCTCTTTAAATCTGTAAATTCATCCTAGTTCCCCCGTCCTGGCTTTTTATGTCTTTGATGTTCCTTCTCCCCTCTGTGAGGTCCGAAGTGAACTAAAGGGCTAGTGATAACTATCACAAAACTTTCCATGTGACATAAATAAACCAATATTTCATTTAATTCAACAGGGTAATGGATCAAAAAACCTACAAAGCAAATCAGCATCTTTTAAGAAACCGTCCAGTTAAGCATGTATGCCTAGAACTCTGATAATTTTTTAATTCTTCTTGACATTTTTATTTTCGATTTTTAGTCAGTTCTCAACTTAAGCAGGTTTGAAAGTATGTGAGTTTTTTACTTCGCTTTTTTTAGTTTATCGTAGATTTAAACAATTCGCGATTCACCCGTAGTCCACTTTTCCACTGAATCCATTTTCAGTTATTCGTTTGCTCATTGAATTTAACACGCTGATGACCTAAATTATTTAATCCATTTTTCTATTATTTTATATAAAATTCAATTCTGAAGGCGCAAATTACATTGAGGAAACAGGCAATAAGCAGTTTATCACACCTTTTCCAATTCGCTTTAACGATATTGCAACAGGGGGAGGGGGGTGCGCGATAGACTTACCTCCACGTGGTGCACCCTTGGCAACCTTTACTCATACGGCAAAAAAGTCTACTGATCGAAAGTTGACTTCTGACTTCAAACTACTATGACCTGACTCTTTGTCATTTTCTACCACTTCCACAGTACTCACCTCACCTTTTTAATGCCTTTGTGTCTGTCAGTCTCTCTTTTACATCTGTGAATCACTCTTCTGTTCCACCTCTCGACTATTTGTCACTTTGATGTTCCTTCTCCTCTCTGTGAAGCTCCGAAGTAAGCTCCAAAGCTAATGATAACTATCAAAACGCCTGCCATTTCATATTAATAAATATTACAACAGGGCATTAAAGATGTCGCTTAGATGCGACAACATTAACGGTCATTAAACCCTTTTATTAAAATGAACGTTGATACTCTTTGTCGAATGACCAATTCTGACGTTGAATGTAATTGCGTTGCCCGCATCAATCTATTTCTAGAAGTTTGTCATGAAATTTATTCTTTTCCCTCACACTGTGTCTTCTGCAAATATATATAACTGAAATGAAACAAATAAGTTATACCTGTGTTGGTCTGAATCACCTGGAACAACACCTGCAATTAGGCTAACAAACTTTGGATCCCTAGAGCAGCCAGCTTCGAATGAAACGTGCGATTTAATCCATTTCAGTGGGTTATTATTAAATTGTCAATGTCATTGGATTGTACTATTGTGCAAATAAGCACTCTGGTTAAATCACAAATCAGTTACCATGAAAAGCAACCTTTTAAAGAAGCCAAAGAGCATTTTAAAAGTGAGTAGCGCGTTTTAATCTTGTTTTAGCTCAGTAGAGCTTAGAAGAGCGCTTGGGGCAAAGTGTGGGATCTTGGTATAATATTACTCATTCTCTAATATTAAAATAATACGATGCAACATTGGTCGCAAACACTTAATTTGAAAGGTGCTCCTCGCCTTCATTTTTTTGGGAAAGTAGGTCTTAGTGGTGGTGTTCGATCTCCCCCGCCTTTTTTCCTACCTTCTTCACTAACCAAAAGTAAAGTGAGAAGTTGAGTGACATACTAGGTTTTAAAAGGATTCACAGAGGGATTTCGGTAGATGGAGGGATGAACGTGGAATGGAAATGTAGATAGAGTTATTATGTTGCAATTTGTGAGTATATGCTAAGTAAGTTTATAAATCTATTAGCTGCAACGCGTATGTTTAGGCAAATCTTGAAGCTGAAAGCTGCGGTGATGAGCACTACGAACGGGATTGCTTTTATTAAATTAACGCGCGGGTTAATGATGACTTGAGCACCTGGATAATAAGTCTTGTCAAGTTGTCTTCATCGCTGAGACAAATAATACTTATTTTCTCCTATAAATAGCCTTGTAAAATGTTTAGAAAGTGACTTAGAGGTAACGGCTTATCTGTCTTACCCCCCCCCCATTCCCTAAGTAGGTGACAACCGTAATTTAGTTATAACCTGAAGACGGGAATTTCCTTTGCCATTGGAACATAAGGTGATATACTGGTGATTCCACGATTGTATAAATAAATTATGATTTTTGTTACCATTAAATATGCTACGTTACCGATTTAGGAGAATGATTTTCAAGCATTTTATTTCGTATGCTTCTCAAATCATTTAGAAAAAGCTAATGGATGTTTCATTGGTCAAAGAAAATCAAAGTACAAGAAACCGATTTTACCACTTTAATATTGATTTTTCACACTAATGTACTTGAGCCATGATTCAAATATTGATTTCCACAAGGTGATGCATTGCCACGCTTGCACTATAGCGAGTGTTCTTGCTAAAACTTGCGAGAGAGACCAATCGCGTGAAATTTTCTAGGATCAACTTACTGGTTCTTAACAAGTCTGAACATAAATCAGCATTCCAGGCATTCCCTACTTATCAAATTACCTAATTTCCAACACATCCTAAGCCTTGGAATATTCTGTATGGCGGTTTTACTAAATTCCAAAATTTAAATTCATTCTTTAATCCATTAACAAAATTAGACTGCTTGAGAGGTCTTGAATTAATACTTATTCTTCTGCCTTCTAGATTTCTTTAAAATAGTCATCAAACCTCTTCCTGGACCATTCTACACATTGGAAGCAGCTAATTCACTGGTTGGTGATGATGAGTCACTTAAAAATTTGCTACTGGAGATATTTTAAGTAGGTAATGTTTGTGGCATTTTCTTTTGGTAGAACTCGTCATTTCAGAGATCCACCAGTACTAATCAGAAATTGATTTGGAACGTTTGCATCGGTATCTCAGATCTCTTCTTGACTTCCCAATGATTGCTAATCAATTGCCACACCTTGCTAATCTCTACTTCCTTCGTCGTTTTCCACAGGCCAAATTAAACAAGACCCAGCAAGTGAGTTCACATTTTAATGGAGTTTTTGGGGCATAAGTTTAAAATTCAAAGAATTGAGATAGATTGCAATGGATGATCTTATTTAAGCAGTGTTCCGTACCACTGGATTGTATACAGTGACCATGGATGAAGGTTAAATATAAAAATGAAAAAAGATTCAAAGTGGAAATGCAGTATTCACTTAATTGTGGGTCTAATTGAGAAGAGTAAAGTGAATGTCAATGATGTCGTGACATACACGAAGCGTGTCACTAATGTTGTGTAAAATTACACGGTTAGGTTGCTCAGGGGGATTGCAATATGCTTCGACAAACGGAAATTCCTCCTCACAGAACTCGTCCATTATGTTTTATGGAAGCTACCTTCAGTGAAGGGGCAATTTATTTTTGAATAGTTTCTCTGTTGGCAATAAAGTGAGTTTGAGTGAGTCCGAACTACAGTTGTGAATTTCATCCTGAATTCCTGCACACCTTAGAGGATTCGCAGGTGAAGCCAAGTTATTTTACGCACATATTTCTAGGTTATTCTCTGTGGTCTTGGTGTTCAACGCAAATCCGTGAAGCAGCTGGCTGAAGAGCTGGAACACCTACTCTGTCCCGATGGTGGACTCCAAGGCAGTCGTAAGCATCAATCCACTCTTGGAGCCAAGAGTTGTATAGACGGAACGTTTTGGAATAGTGGACGCCTCAGTGGTGGCTCTGGAAGTGGTGACCCGAGCGTGAAGCTCAGGCTGAAAGAGGACGGAGAGGCGGAATCTGGTGGCCAGTCATCCAACGGTTGGGCTCGTCGTATTCGTGGTCTTCTCTTTGTCATTATTCGAGAGTTGGTGAAGTCACTGGACGAGATTATCAAGACTACTGGAGATGGGAGCAATCGCCATGAGTTGAAATCTATGCTGAAGAAGAACGAGACCACTTTGCCTCTTCCTCAGAATACCTCTGATGTTGAAATGATGGATATTGGTGAGGGCGAACAGAATGAAGACTCTTCAGATGACGATGAGGTGGAATTGGTTATAAGGTGATCACCTTGACTACGGAAACATCAGTGTAAATGGACTTGATTCTTTCACAAATATACGAAATTTTGACCCAAATTGGCATAGTTTAGAAGATTAAGCTGTGAGTCCATTCTAGAGTCATCGCAACATTCGATGGGGAGAAATTAGTTGGCCATAAAGTGGGTTGCATTTCAAACGTAAGAGAGCTCACGAGAGCCAATTCAAAGCCAATTTTAATTAATTAGTTTTTTGAACAAATTTTACTCTCAACATACCTCTGTCCTACGTATACTAATAGCAAGTTGTAATTTGCTATAATTACTATGCTCCCAACACAAGGTAGATCAATCGATTAGTGTAGATTAGTGTATTAAACCTGGCAATTTTTCCGCTCTGTACCATACAATAGCAAAACTCGTGACTACATACGACATATATTGGTAGGTATACACTGGAATAGTATTGACAAAATCAATTATAAAATGATAGTAATAAGAAGATGATATGTTGTTTCGCCACATTGAGCAATAGGACGGGATCTCTTTTGTGCTAAAACACAACGGGGAAAGTCTGGGAGATTGGAAGATCGATGTGTGATCAGGAGAGAGGAAGATTGAGTATGGAATGAGGCAAGATATGTTTTCAAATACACAAAATAAGAATCCTTGGGAGATAGATGAGAGGTGGAAGATGACGCAGCTATTGGTCCTGGGAACTGAAATTGTCATTGCCTTTATTTCATTTAAATAATCGGGAAGCACCGGAAAATTTTCCTTTTCTTCCTTTTCCTTCTTCACCCACATCATTTTCCCATTCATCATCCTCCTCTTCCTCAGATTCTTGATTACTCTTTTCTCTGAGATCTTCCACAGAATTGCTTGTAAATTTGAACTAACAATAGAATAAAAGTTTTGTGTTAGGATTGAAGACACCTTTTTGCTATGGAAGGTGGAGAAATCGTGAAATAGAATAAACAAGATGGGAATTTTTCAAAGTACATTGGGTTTATATAAATGTGCTAACAAAGAACCTACCCTATCACTTGATCCAAACATTTCAACTGGTACTCCTTGTTTTATCAATTCTTTGGCATGCAACTCCGCCATCTTCTCAGCAATACTGAGTTTACTTTGGTAGAATTCGCCTTCGTTGAGTAAAGAGTGTAGGGCTTGGGTAGATGCAGCTGCCCGAATATTTGCACTACTTCCTGCAACACCAGTATTCCAAACACCTTGACCCTGAGTGGGAACTCCATTACCTCTTTCTTCATCTCTTAAACCCTCGTCTTCTCCATCACTTTTACCCTGAACATCTGGAGGAACATAACCTAGTGTTCGTTCGCAAATATTCGTGAGGAATTCTGTACGATGAATGTCCTCGGCCGGTCCCCAATCACTGACTGGTTTGGAGAATTCGCGCAAAAGCTGCAGGGAAATTACAAAAAATCAATAATTCTGCTGAGCATCGCATTGCACGCACTATGTTAGACTCGGCACCTGTGTGTTTGAAAGTGCATGTTTTGGGCAAATGCGAATATTACCGGGATTTTCCGAAAGTCCGTCCACGGAAGTGGATGCTTATTTGGCATTAAAAGTCAAAATGTAGTCATACGGCTTTACTCTAGTTGAAACCGAAGCTTGTCTCACCACATGGGCGCTTATTCGGTTCCAAAAATAGTTTTATGAAATGGGATTCTCCGTTAAACCGCCATTTGTGGATTTTCGGAAAACCCCAGGAAATCAAAAGAGTGCCATTGCAGATATAATCTCCTGGTTTCGAGATTTTGAAATTTATGACAACCTCGACAAGTGTGATATGGATCAGTCGTGGGACTTAAAGTAGAAATTTTAAGAAGAGTAAAGTGAAGAGTCATTATTGGACGGCTGTCCGATATTCCAATCCGTTGGAAATTCGGATAATTTTACCACTGTTCGTCAAAGAAGTCCTGATTCAGCCCTATTAATAAATTAAATACTTCAGCATTGCTCAAAAACTTCTCTTGACCCACTCTGAGCAGGGTTTATAAAGAATGCGTACGTAAATGCTCGATTAATACAAATCTTGTTGAGTTTGAATAAAGCCATTTGTAAGTATTGCTGAAAAACTTCCAAATAAATCTAGATTTCTCAACAAGTGATACCGATTTTAGAGGGTTCTTCACAAAATTTCGGAATCCAATTGGAGAATAATAGCTCATAGAGTTTGTCCAATCCTAATTCGTTTATTTAACAATGAATTTTTGCTGATGATTCATCAATCTGACAAATGATGAATTAACTTACTATCCATCCACCATCGTGGCAATACTTGTAGAGGAACCATCCAACAATCAGAAGAATTGGAACGATAGCGATGATCTGGGCCATGACTTGAATTCCATAGGGGTAGATGTAACCGTCCATACTGTATGGTTTGCCTCCGACAATCATGAAGATAATTAAACCCAGAACCGCACATGGAGAAACAACCATCCAGCATATTCTCCAATACCAGTTTGGCTTTGAGTCGATCATAAGTTTTACATCTCGCATGAACTGTTTGATGCCTAGAAAAGAAGTGGTAAATGAATTAGGATAGATCATCCTAAGATCAGATTTAGTTAACTAGATCGAACTGCCTACCATAGACATAAGAGATGACCAGAAGCTCCATCAAGGCAATAATGAGAACAGGATATCCAGACATCACATTATCCAACAAGTTTACGAGATATGCACCACCGTTGCAAACCATGGGAATTGTGATAAGGAAGTTGATAGAGCATAGCACAACTCTGTAATGCGAGGCAATGCAAAACCATTATTAACCCAGTAGATATATAAAGTAGGATGGATTTCATTACAACTTACCGGAAAACGAATTGAGATTTCCAGGTCTTGAGGAAATTGTATCGACGGAATTCATCCTGGAAACTGGAGAGTACAGTTTCCACATAGGGCAGTTCACTGCCCAAACCCAGGGATACTAACATGATGAAGAATAGAATGGACCAGAGAACAGGAACGGGCATTTGATTCAAAGCTTCTGGATAGACCATGAAGACAAGACCAGGTCCTAATAGACAGTAAATAGAAACAAGTGTCACGAAACATTTGAGTAGATTCTTGTAAAGAATTCACTTTACCTGATTCAACGACTTGATCCACAGTGACATTTTTTATATGAGCCATGAAGCCAAGAGTTGAGAAAACCACGAAACCGGCAAACACAGAAGTGAGACAATTAATTGTTGCAACCAGAACTGCGTCCCTTTAAGTATAAAGGCCAATAAACTTTCATTTCATAAAGAACACAAAGTGCGTCACTTGCTAATGCCAATATAAANAATCTTGAGAAATCTGGCTTTAAATAGTATATAACACCTTCTAGTGAGCCCTCAAGTGTGGCAGCACGTACTAGAAGTATAGTCAGCATGATGTATGGGAAGATGGCGGTGAAGTAGGATATTTTACCCAAAGACTGGACACCCTTGATCAAACTGAGGACCACAACAATCCAAGAGAAGAGAAGGCAGAGAGTTATATGCCAAACTGGAGTTCCAAAGTCTTCAAAACCAGATGACTTTTGAAGTACATAATGGCTTGAAGACAAAGGTGAAGAGGAGAGTTAAAATGTAGTAGTGATTAAGAGCATGGAAAAATGAAGTATTAAACTTACTTATAGTACTCTACAGCAGGAGATGAGGTTTCATTAATTGGGATAGACGAATTCGTTCCTATAACATGGCAGGTGCTTTGGTTATTCCACCAGTTAGTACAAGTGGACCAAGGTAGTTGACTGTTGAAACTTGCGAATAGGTAGAAGAAAGCTGTTGCTATGATAACATTGTAGTACAATGATATGTACCAGGAAACAATCGTCATTGCATAGCCAACACCTGAAAGGCGATAACAAAATGGATGTGATTGGAAATATTAAAGACCCTAGTGTGGGTTTCTGAGAATAAGAATAAGAACAAACCTTTGAACAAAGGACTAATGGACCAGATCGCGATTGGACCAAGACTGGCGAATTGACCAAAGGCGAATTCCAGGAAGAAAATTGGAAGACCCAGACAAATTAACATGATCACATAGGGTACTAAGAAGGCACCTTAAACAGGATTAAATAAGAGGTGTAAGTGAGAGAACAGTCAGAGGCATAGTGAGACAATGGGGCTCAAGATTTACCTCCTCCATTCTTGAAACAGAGGTAGGGAAAACGCCATACATTTCCAAGACCGACAGCAAAAGCAATGCAAGAGAGAAGGAACTCAATTTTCATTCCCCACCCTCCCCGTTCTTGACCTTCATTTGCTTCTAAATCGTCAGTCTAAAGTGGAAAGATAGTAGAATTAAAAATATGTGCTTTTAAGGTGAGTTAAATAGACTGGAACTATCTAAGCCAAGAGATGTTAAATAGTTTTTTATTCAAAAAATTAGAATACCTTGGTTCTAAGAATAAATTTTAGAGTGTTTAATATACACTTGACATTATAATGTACAATCCATAAATAAAAAGCGATTTATCCATTTATTTTTATGAAATTCTAGTATGAAACGCAAGTTCTAAAGCACGTGGGTTACACAATTTAAAATCTAGGATTTCTGAAATTAGATGAAGATTGACACTACTTTACTAGGAACTGTGGCGGAACAAATTGTATTATCTGAAATCAATCGTAAAGTTTATAAAGTTCAGGTATAAAATGCAGAAAAAGGCATAATTTCATTTGGTCTATCAGAAAATTTTATTTTCCTCAGTATAATTCTATTAATCCACTTTATTTGGCAATTGTTAAGTTCACAAACTACAAATTTATTCGACCTTTGACTTGCATTGTGCATTTATATTAGTGCAAATAGTATGTAGTTTGTGGGGTAGAGCAAAATAACGAGGCGTTAATATTGAAATGGATTAATAAAGCTAAGTTTATAATTGAATTTCTACTTGAAGGCAGTAATTTATAATATTGAATTTGCCAAAATAAAATTAGCATCAATGGGCCATTGTTTGATAAGAAATGATTTGGAATAATAAAATGCATAGATTCATAGAAATTTCTAGGATTAAACGAAAAGAATATTATTTTTTATTTATCTTGGTCAGTAAATTATCATTACTAACAGCCACAATAATAATAAAAGGTAAATAACGTTAAATTCACGGAACCTATTCATTTTGAGAGATCTTCCATTCTGAAACAACTTTGCAAAATCGAATAAACAAATTCACAACTAACTTTCACATATTAGATGCTCTAAAACGAACACATTTCGAGCATAGTTGCGATCATATTTTGATTTCAGAGAAATCTCAAATGACCCGATTACCATCTCTTAAGACCAAGTGTCAGAAATTAACCAGAAATAATAGAGTGGTTTTGGGGAGAGGACTTAAGCAAACTTGCCACAAGTACGAACCTTATTATATGAGACGACATCAGATTCAGAAACTTCATTTTCTGGAATGACTGAATCGGGAAGTTTTGGATCTGTCTCTTTAACCAGTTGTTTCTGCTTCCTTGATTTCACGTTAGCCATTTTCGATTTGATTAAATGAATTGCTAGTTACGTGCCACAAAATAAATATGTACGATTCAAACATCTCGCCAATCAGTGTTAGGTACATGCGCGCACCGCGCACGTGCCTACGAGTACGCCAATCCCATTGGTTAAGCACAGACCAATTACTATTGTGCTCAAGTGGCATTTCGTCATGCCTATGCTCTGAATAAGGGTAATTTTACTCACTTCGTACATTTCTAGGTCAAGTTTGACGAAAATGAGGAGACGAAGATATTAAGGAAGTTGATACTTGGGTTAGCCCCAGTCAACTATTTTTAAGTAATTATTCTTAGTTAACTGCTATGGAAAGTATTCTAAGGCAAGGAGTACATTTTAGTTGCTGCTGATAAATGTTTTGTAAAGAAATGTTTTCTTGAACATAACAATAATTGCCGTGTAGTGGTAATGAAATCTACCTTTTGTATTTATGAAGCCTCTCATCCATATGTGAAATTTATACGTTTGATTGATCTTACAGGTCGCAACCTCGCTTAGAGCATGAATTGCACGAGGCATTTAAATTCTATAATGCTTAAATCTTGCAAAGAAAATGGAATTTAGGAAAAAACTCGAGAAGAGGCTCATTCATGAATTAGTTAAATATTTGAATGATATGTAAATACTGGGAATGATAATACGATTCAATTTAAAACCCTAAGGGTCTGCCTTACGCCAATGTCACGCTAAAGATAAAATTAAGCTGTCAATTTTGAAGGAAATGGAATTAAAATACGATCAATGTCTTTCCATAGTAGACAAAGAGTGGGTCATATCGCAAAATGTCTCTATTCCACTTGCTAATATTGAGGTGACTAGTTAATGGCAATAAGTTTGGAGGGAAAGACTGCTTAGCATGAGGAGTGGGAAGATAATTATTAGGAATCTTGTCTTGGGAAGGTTATAACTTAACATTGCCATGTTTTCAATGGAGGGGGGAAGGGGGGGGGGATGTTAATGGTTGCGGACCTCTCATGTGCGTGTGCATTTGGCAGCAAGTTTTGACACGCCTGCTCAAAGGGGATCACGCGATGTGGTGGAAAGTGAACGCACAAAATTTTTCTGAATGTGCGTTCACTTTCAACCGAGTCTTTTAACCAACAAAATCAAATCAAACGCGCAACATCATTGATAATCACCTCCATTTCTTGCATAATTATTTCTTGCGGATTTTCGATATTTCAGTTAAAAAGCATAAAGCAATTGACTTAGTTAAAAGAGTGGAAGGCACATTTATGCTTATTAACTATTACCTTCTTAATAATGGTTAGATTAGTTCGTGATTATGAGATAGCATCTATTTTCAAGCATAAATATTTCACTATCTGTGTAATATTTAAGTAATTTAGATTTATTATACTCCACTAGCATTTATTTATTTATTTATTTCGAATGGCAGGCGTTTTGATAGTTATCATTATCCCTTTAGCTGACTTCGGGCTTCACAGAGAGGAGGAACATCAAAGTGACAAAAAGTCGAGCGGTGGGGGACAGAATCATGATTTACAGATATAAAAGAGACAGACAGACTGACACAATGGCGGAGAAAATGTAAGATGAGTACTGTGGAAGGGGTCGAACATGACATACAGTGGGGCCATGGTAGTTTGAAGTCAGAAGTCAACTGCCGGTTTATAGACTTTTTTGCCGTATGAGTAAAGGTTGCCCAGGGTGCACCACGTGGAGGTAAGTCTATCGCACACCCCCCATTAGCATTTTATTAAGCCTTCTTGACATGGAGTTATGCATCCTCGTTCTTGGCGCTGCTATTTTTCATTAAATAAATGGTTTTCAGATTCTTTTATAAAAAATTAGTTTTCCATGACCACTGACCCCACATCGCCTCGTGTTTATCACTTTTCAGCCAATTGCTTTACACTGCCATCCAATTACCTGATAATTTTTGGTTTTTCAATGGACACA